AGATGGTCGATAGCAAGCAGATCTGCTTTAGCAATACTGTGACCAAACAGTCCGCAAAACCGTATGAGCATCTGTTTATGACAAAACGTTGACCGCAGTCGGGTCGATNTGTTGAACGCATTGACGACAGATCGCCAACAAACAATCACCAAATCTGTTCTGGATTTAGTGCGTCACTTTGGCTTTGCTTTGCTAGTGGCAGATTTGTTATGATTTTGGTCTCATTTTGACATCTCACATATTTGACAGATATGGTCGCCAAACCATATCCTAATGAGGACACAGATGGATATGGATTTGGTCTACTTATTTCGCCGGCGGTTGGCGACAAAACTGCGACATCTCGCAACCAAATTGTTTGCTGGGTACATATTGTTGGAGAAATGATCCAATATGTTTTTGAAAGCTGCACAAAACAATCTGCTTTATTTTGCACTTTATAAGTTTGTACATGCATACGTATAAAATAAACTGAACTACTAATTCTACTGTTTCCTTTGTGGAAAGACACGCAAGTAAAACGTAAGATACAGTAAGTGATCAAAAAAACGGAAACGGTGACGAACTAAAAAAGCGGGAAGAAGAAGATAACCAGCAGCGCTGCAACTAGAACTAGCTGTGCGCGCAATCGCAGTAACATAAAAAAACTAAAGGAGCTGTACTTTTTCCACCTTAAACATAAAAAACGCTTATTCATACGCACAGCATACAGAACGAACTATTGTTGCTTTCCAACACATATATACATATATATGGGTGTTTTTTAATGGATTTTTGGTCACTGAAAACGAATCCGGCGGCGAAATCGACCTAACACGTCAAATTTCTGAGAAAATTAAAGTTAAATATATAACATACTGTCTATTAGCGTGAGAAAGAGCATATCAGTGTATCTCATTCACACTAGTGGACGATGTGTTACACAGTGTCGACTGTACGTAGCTGAAAAGCACCCATTGTTCATATTACTCAACAAATACGAGAATAATACATTAAATTTATGATTGCTTCATTGCCGAATGCGTATAAACAGAAGTATTAAAATCTTACAGTTGAACTTTACCGGTTCCAGCATAAGTTAACAGTTATAGCCCGCATAAACAAGGTCTAACTGTAAAAGACTGTTCAATGTTTGTTAACAATCTGTTCTCAACACAGGCGACAGATATGATCGCAGATAATCGCCATTTTGTTGTCTAGATGTCAAACAGACAGTTTAGTAGTCTTGCGTGCAAACAGTCCGCACGTATGCACGAGCAGATCTGTTTGGCGTTTGGTGGCAATCTGTCGTCAATGCGTTCAACAGATCGACCCGACTGCGGTCAACGTTTTGTCATAAACAGATGCTCATACGGTTTTGCGGACTGTTTGGTCACA